GCGTGCCAGCTCCGAGCATGTGGCGAGGGGGGCTGGCTGGGCTTCCTCCTCCACAGCGGATGTTCCTTCAGGGGATCTGTTTGAGGGGCAGCAGGGGTGGGGTGGGGGTGGGGGAGCCCCGCTCGGCCTATCCATCAGCCTGGCTGGGTTTTCCTCCGCTTGCTTCTTCCGGGAAGTTCTCCCAAAGCAGAAGGGCGAATGTTGAATGGGGCAAGGTCTGGAAGGAGTGAGAAGCCCCTCTGGCTAAGGCTCAGACCCTCCCCTATTCCAGCTCTGGTGTCTGGGCTGCGCTTATCCTCTGCCTGGGGCCCCTCCCTCCTTCCGAGGTCCTGTCAGCATCTCATCAGTTTCCACCCCTAGACAGGGGTCCCTGGCTGGTTCCTGGCTCCGGCAATACCTGCCTCTGTGTCCCCTGTCACCCCGACACCCCTAGCCTGTTACGACTGCTATTTACCCCACACCTACGTGGAGTATCTGAGCAAAAGAAGTCAGGAGGAGGAGTACACACTGAACAATTTCATTTATGTGAAACCCAAGAACCGGCCTCACTGACCCGTGATGATAGAGGTCAGGATCATGGCTGCCCCTGGGAGGTGGGAGTTGACAGTAAGAGGCACCAGGGGACTCTGAGTGGCGGCCATACTACACGGGTGTTCACATGTGTCAAAGCTCAAGCTGTATCCCAGTGGATAGAGCCTGCGGCCTGAAGTCTCCCAGGTTCGATCCCGATCAAGGGCATGTGCCCAGGTTGTGGGCTCAATCCCCATGGTAGGGGGCGTGCAGGAGGCAGCTGATCCACGATTCTCTCTCATCACTGATGTTTCTACCTCCCTCTTCCTTCCTCTCTGAAATCAATAAAAATATATTTAAGAAAAACCTGTACACGTATGTGATCTGTGCATGTCACTGTATGCAAAACATGTTACTGAATACCTACAATGAGCCAGGCCCCGCGCCAGCAGGGGACACACACTCCCTGCCTGCCTGCGGAGCTCATGTGGCAGGGAGCGTGGCTCTTGTCCTGACCTCCTGTGCCACTGCCCTCTGCCCTGGAGCCCCGCTGTCAGGGCCTGCAGTGGGGGTGGAGGGGGGCGGGTCAAAGGGCAGGGTGCTGCCCGGAGGTGTGGCCTTCAGCCAGTCTCAAGGTCACACTGAGGACAGGGGAGGCCCATGCCTGATCCCTGGGGGCACTTTCCTCATCACTGGTAGGGGATGAACAAGGCCTGTGGCACCAGGTGAGAGGCTCCGCTGTGGGAGGCGCAGTTATTGTTCCACTTATTGGTCCAGGGCCAGGAGTACAGGCCGCAGAGCCACACACCACCTAGTCTCAGCCCCCAGCCACTCCCCAGCCGGTGGGGTGACCTTGGGCAAGTCACTCAGCTCTCAGAGCCTCTTCCGTCAACTTTAAGATCGGGGTAAAGAGGGTACCTACCCCACAGCACGTCGCCAGGGTTCCGTGCCAGGAGTGCTGGGCACACGCAGGCTCGCAACCCAGGGGAGCGCGCCTTCCTGCCCGGAGCTCTGGCAGGAGGGCTCCGAAGGGGCGGGAGAGGCTGGGGAAGGCGGCCAGGCTGTGGTGGGAGCATGCGCACCAGGCAGAGTCCCGGAGTGAAAGTGGTCCTGGCGGGTGGCGCTCGGAGGCGCTTGGGCCCATCCTCCGTCCACGCACACGCTGAGCTCCG